GAATAGCTTTATAAAATCATTGTTTGATGGTGACTAGCAGTGTATTCCAGTGTAATCTGACGTGTCATTGGAGATCGAACATATCTGTCTAACATAATAAATCACGGGAAATGCAAATTAACCTAAAAACCAATAATAACGGATATCCGTTGCACAAGACGTGTCTTTGTGGTCCAGTGGATACCACTTTAGAGTTTGAAACGTAGGGTACTAGGTTCCAGTCTCAGTGGGAACACTGTCACTCACTAGGAATGTATGTATGTCCAGCTGATGAATTACAAATGGTAGGAAATACGCATGTTAGATTCCACCGCTAGTCACCATCCGCAGAGAATAACATCTTGTTAATCCTCAGATATCATCAAAGTATCTGTACTACGGGTTGATATTATCAACAAAGACCGAACATTCATGTTCAGTATGATCAGTAGTCAGCTGGAAATGCGAATTTTCACCTGGAGCTGAATTTTCAAATAATATAATAGCCAGTAATATGTCAATATCGTTCCATCCAAAGTATATTCCAGTACTACTCCTGAATGTTGTTCTTTCACTTCCGTCGAATATTTCCTCTTGATAGGTAGAAACTTACATAAAATTGTGCACGTATATGCCAGTTTATGGCGTCTCTGGCATAGACGTGATATCCGACTATCGACTAAAGGACGTGTGCACTGCTCAGCAGTCCGCTCCGTCCTCCTCTATGGATGTGAGACCTGGCCATTGAGAGTGGAATACATGGAAAGGCCGGCTAGCTTTCTTTGATCATAGGTGCCTGCGTTCTATCTCCCGTGTGAAGTGGTATAATAGGGTAAGCAATACTGAGGTTAGGCGTCGAGTTCTAGGTAGGTAGGGGAAATCAGTCGACGAGGCTGTGAAACTACAACGACTGAGATGGTTAGGACATGTGTTACGCATGCATGTCTAGCCATTGCCTTCCTCGACGGGCAACGTTAACTGACGTAGGATGGATCAGGTTAGAAAAGAGTTAATGGTGGTCAAACCAAAACATGGCTTCATCAGTCAATGAAATCCACGACTTCTTGACTGTGGTCTTCGCGACGGTAAACACCAATGAAGGCTGGAGACAATTGGTGATATGGCTCAAAGTGATCTTTCTCAATGGTTGGTGCAGATGCATCTAGTCCTTGTGACTTACAATACCCAATGAAATTATATTGTTCTTCGTTATTACTATTCCTTTTGTCTCATATCTCTGTTGACTGTCTCTATTATGCATTTCTTCTACTTCTCTTGTTTTGTGTTCTACATGGAGGGAGAGTGGCGACTTGAACCGCTGCACATCAGTGCAAAGTTCTACGTTTAAAACAGACAGAGACAGTTAATTAGATGATGAAAACACTATGAAGGAGAGTAAATATAATACATTTACGATGGATAAACAGTTTTAGGTAGCTCATTAATTTAAACAGGCTGGGACCAAAACAACAAACAAACAAATGTAATGACACTGTAACCAAAGCTCATCAGTCTAAACGGCCTCTAGTAACTCTAAGTAATAATAATAATAATAAAGGGATATCTTTAATCTTTGTCCCATTAATTATTCTGTTTGCGTACATGATTTTTTTTATGATAAATGTTTTGCAATTAATTAAAATGTGAAAGATAATTAATGCTACAGGATAATTATTACGTCATTAGTTAGTTATCCAAAGTGTATCTATGCTTTTTTTGTGTGTGTATGTATGTATGTGTTTACGTTCATGTTAAAATACCTTGTTTCCTTTTTTATGTGTATGTTTGTTTTTTGGTGTGTTGAGGGAATGCGAATAGATGAACAATTGATATAGACCCAATGGTTTTTTTTAAATGTTTTAAAGTCTGGTTACTCTTTTTCACATACTCTTCTCTCTGTCTCGCATTGTCAACACGCATATAATGCCAACATAAGACGAGTATTTAGGCTAGATAGATGATACGTATGATATATATGTGTATCTATACACCTTTGTTTATTCTAAATACGTATGCATAAATTCATTTGTTCCTCATGATTGTACATTTTTAAATTGATTCTTAGTAAAGATAAATATTTCTCTGTCGGTGGGAGACAGAAAAAGGATAATCGTATATGCATATTTTTCAGTATTGTGTTGTTTTGTGATATATATATTGCTATCTATGTGTATTTGGATTGAAGGTTATTTATGTTACTTGGATGACGATAGCGATAGTGAGATAATGAAACTGTAATTATCTGTTTTCTTTTTGTCCTGTATTTGTCACTTTTTCTCTTTCTTTCACTGAATTATTACGTAAATAGGTGTTACATTTATTGGCTAATAAATATTAAAGCCATTATCATTTATGCTATGTATGCATAAATTTCGTCACTGTCACGAATCAATGTCAGTTGGAGAGATCATTGATAAGGTTGCAATTCACGCATCATCGAATTCTGGCTGAAGTGGCTGAATGACCAACAACGAACTCGTAATCTAAATGTCCCGGGTGCGACTCCTGGTAGGGATCGTGGATACGCACTAGTGAAGACGCTTAAAATAGGATGATGAAACGTCTTTCCAGTGCACTCTAATTGTCAATGTCCTCCCTAACTGATATGTTTGTTGACTCGTAACGAAATCCAACAGTCGAAATTCAATTAATCCGAATCCCTACAAATCCCATAGTCTGTCTGTCTGTTCTCTCTCTCTCTCTCTCTCTCTCTATATATATATATATATATATATATATATATATATATATATATATTTACAAGTTGTAAACTATGTGAATGTGTGAAATTAGTCATAGAGTAAAAAAGAATCATAAAAGAAAAATAGTTGTTTCAGTCTTTTCTACTCACATCCAAATCATCACCATCATCTATTTAGGTTTACATCAGTTTGATCCCGATCGGTAGTTGCTACCTTGACCTGCTAGTTGGGCTTATACATCTCCATGACACAACTAGCAATACTGGTTGGAACTAATGTTTTGCTATATGTCCTACCCCATACCACAAAGGTTGTTTGTATAACGATTAGACCAAAATCAGTTTTCATCATAGTAAAGATTTTTCACTCTATGTTATAAGTCTATAAGTTGAAGTTAGACTGTTGTAGAATAGGAATGTAACAGTAGTAAGGTTTCTTCCTTAGTAAATGAGCAGCATCCCGGTTATTCTGCCTCTGCGCTTTGGAGAGGAGGCATATGAAAGGGACGACCCTGAAAATTGTGCACCGGCAATATGATCTCAGTGTTGTGATACAACACCAAAAGCCGCTTCAAGCAGACTGTGTGCAACGGGTCTCAAGCAGTTGTCCTCTGGGCTCTGTCTTTGTTTCAGGTACCCTAAGAAAAACAAAAACACATTTCCGCAATGTGGGAAACCAGGTAGTAGCAATCGCCCACTCACTTGCAAAAGCACACAAAGCTGGTCAGTTTGACTACTACTTTATGAATGACCGTAATGAAAACCAAAAACAAAAGGATACGTTTCTGTTGCAGATTTTAATGTCATATCGGGGGGGGGGGGGTGGGGTGCATGAATGACTATTTCGAATTAATTCTTGACTGTGTTTACTACTGTTTTATAGAGATAGTAAAGATTTTGTAATTCTGTTTAATATAACATTTTTTCCTCATTTCTTTGTTTTCTCTGTTGAACATATGGCTTCAAACTTGAGTTTTAGTGTTTCAGTTACATTGGTAGTCTCATGGGGTGAAGTTGTTAGCCTTACTCCTAACATTAACTGTTCATCAAGCTTATTATTATTACTATTCCCTTGGGTTCCTAGTGGAACATAGGGCTTCAACTCCACGTCTCCACTTGCCACTTCTGTCTTGCTTCTGCTGTACTTTTCACCTGCATCCATGTTAGTCCATACTCTTTCCACTCCTCTCTCTTCACACGATCTCCTCCATATCACCCTTGGAAGTTCCACTTCCAGCAATGGCCTGACGCGCGCGCGATGCCACCCAGCGGCCTCCTCAGTGAGCGATTGTCCAATCCATCTCCATCCACTTTCTCCTGCATATTTGTTGGTTGGCGATTGGTTAGTTCTTGTTTCGTTTGTTCCCAGCCATAGTTTCTTGTTGGTGATTCCTTTCCGGCCCGGCCCGGCCCGGCCATCTGATCTTCAGTATGTAGCCAGCGAAGACAGTTGTTGTTTGATAAAGGTCTGGTCTGCAACGGACTGTTTAAAATCTTCTTTGTTACCCGCCCCTCACTAACTTTCTGATCCGTATAGAAGAACTGACTGACTTGACGCTGTTTGTATTGAAAATCCGACCGAATTTTGTTGTTGTTGGTGAGTTGAGTGACGAAGATTTCCAGATTGGTTTCAGGTGTGCGTCAGCTTGGACTGAATACTCGAACTACGTTCATGGTTGGCGAGCATTCTACCGATAAACAACCGACGCATACTATTACTACACTGAGGCACATATGGATTTTGTTTTTACCACCTATTTTGTTCTTTTCACTTTGAGTGTAATATAGTGCTTTAAGCGTTTAGGTTTTCAGTAGCTGTAATGTTTTATACGTGGTGGTGGGGGGGATTGGCTAGCCTAACACCCGACCTTCTCTTTTTTTAGCCTTACCACTGGTTTGTAAATTACATGTGGTTTAAGAGCGCGTCTACTGGAAATAGAAATTGAACCTACCTTGCGACTGGCGGCGAGCATTTTACCACTAAACCATTTATTTGATATTTTTATTTTTTATTTTGATTACAGCTTGATGCCACACCGTATTTTCGGTACAGTTATGGAATTTTCAGCATGTTATATCGGTAGCCCAAATTTTACAGGCCGACCATAGATATCGAGTGCGCGTCGGTAGGGGATCGAACCCTGGACTATGTGCATGGTTGGCGAGAGTCCTAACGACTGTGCCACCGACGCACACACGCAAATCGCATATGGAATAGTTTAGCTTTCTTATGCTTTCCTCAGTGTATTTATTGTTACTTTTGTGATGTTATGAAAAGAATATTTTGCTTTTTTATCTCTCTATATATATATCTATATAGGATGAGAAATTGGCAGCACAGATTCAAGAACGATCTCCTGGCAAATCTTGGGATCGTATTGTAACAATATGCAGTGGTTTGGACCTAGTTAATATCAATTACACTCATATGGTTGCTAAGGATGCTGAAACGGCTTCAGTAAGTATAGAAAAATCTTAGTTCCTTATTATAATTATTATTATTGTTGTTGTGAATGACGTAATCTTTAAGTGAGGCAGATATATTTTTTTGTATACATATTTTGTGACCAAAATGTACTGCCCTTATGTTCGAAAGTTATTGACTAGTCTTATTAGAATACCACATTGTCATTCCTTAGGATTTCCAGTCGAACGTATGTTCCCAGCATCTGAATTCCACTTGATTCTGTTTTCTTCAGTCATTATAACCCTCTTGACTACTGCTCATAAGCCTTCATTTCTTCCTCCTATGATCTCCTCTGTATCACCTTCATATGCTTAACTGGTAGTTTCTCACTCGAGTCCCGCTCGAGGGCCTTTTGCGTGATATCACCTAACGATCTCCCCTAGCGTGTGCTCAGTCTATTTCCACTTCCTTCGGTGTATTAATTGACCGATAGGTCCTTGTTTGATCGGTTGCGGGAGTTCATTATTACCAGTCCTTTTTGCTCATCTGACCCTCAGTATCGAGCCGGTGAAGACAGTGGTTGATGAAAGTCTGAAGCAATTTGTTAGAAATGTTTTTGGTGATGCACTTTGTCCTTGTACCAATATAAAAGCACTGTCTTGATATTAGTATTGCAGATTCGAATCTTGTTCCTTACGTTGATTGCAGTAGATCTCCGGTCTGATTTCAGAGTTCTGAAGGTTTTTCTTGCTATTCCCATTCTGCTTCTGGCATCTTCATCCATGTTGTGTGTAGTTGGAGCATAAAAAGAGTGATTTCCTTAAAATTGCTCTCGTTGATGGCGACTGATGTTTGTTGTTGGCGGTCGGGTATCTTTATCATCTATATCTTTTCTATGTTCACTTGAGATCCTGTCTTTGCTGCTTTGTCAGCCAACTTGTCGGTTTTCACCTGTAGATCTTCGAATCTGAGTGAAGTTAGATATAAATTGTCTTTGAAATACAAATCTTCTTGTCAGCCCAACGTATTCCTGTTTTTTCTCATTCTCCACAGTTTGATGTATAATCTAGTTCACCACTATTAGAGGAATACCATCAACAATAGCAGGCAGCCTTGTCTTACTCCAGTGTTTTCACTTCAGAGGCTTTGCTGAGTTTCCCGTTGTGGGTTACACTTGAGGTGTGACATTTTCATATACTCTTGCAAATTATTTATCAAGGATAATTTGGAAGTTTATAACTATAGGTAACATTATGTTAAAAATTTAAAGATATTACATTCATGAAAATAGGTTAAACTCTTTTCGTAATAGGTTATACTGTGAGGCTGCATTGACTGAGATGCCTAGGACACATGCTATGTATGCCAAGCTGTCGCCTTCGTCATTGAACAGTCTTTACTGAGATGGGATTAGGTTATGGAAGAGTTAAGTATGCATGGCAAAATCAATATCTGCTCCCAATCCATGATGTCTTTGACTGTTGGTTTGAGCTTTGTAGACTTTCTGGCTGGGATCTTTCATACGCCAAAAACACTAGTGGCTTGTGACTCTTATTGATACCAGCCTGGAAATTGTTCCCAACTGATGTAGGTACATTCTTTATTTGTTGTAATATCCATTAAATCCATTAAGTCTCCAAGTTTTCCTGTATTGCTATTGTTTCTCCCCTATATTTTTGATCATTATGTAACAACAGAAGACAAGGGCCAGGCAACAGACCGTTTATTAAGGAAATCAGCACGTATTTATATATATATATATTTCATGTACATTATTGTAGCTTATTCAAGGAGACAAACACAGTCTCCTGATTGTTTGTTTCTTGCTCAAGGTTATTCTGTACTGCTTGTGGCTGGTTTCTCAGAAAGTTAAGCCATCTATCTGCGAATCGTATTTGCCCACGTTAAGTCTGCTGTGATTGGTTGTTGAATCAGCCTTGTTCATATTTTCTCACGGCCAATATTAGCGACCTAGACATTGACGTAAATTGATGTCTACCAATTGGTTAGCAGCCTGCTCTCACCACAATTATACTTCCTCTGATATTTTTTTCTTCTCTCTCTACCTTTATGTGCCATGTGTTGTTCGACAATTTGAACTGTTGCACTTTGTTTACACACAAATTTCACAAGCTGACATTAGTTAGAGAGTACCGTTAGAAAACCAGGAAGTACTGAACAACTGTGTCATCCTAGTTTAGAACTCTTCAATGGCACGTGCCCTCGAGGGTTCTAACCCCATGACCTTCCGGGCCCTTACAAGGCGGTCTCGTAGACCATTCAGCTGAATTTTTCTGCATGCTTTGTTATGCATTGAAGGCTCAATCAGTCTACTGTTACCAGGGTGTTGTTACAAGATGTCAGATAAACACATCTTCACATCGTCATCATCTATGCACTATTTAACTGTCTTTCTGATTGTGACAGTGAATGTCAAATCGAGCTTGCATTATATATATATATATATATATATATATAATGTCATATCAGGGCAGAGTTAGATGCATTATTTATTTCTAACTCATAAAATCTGACTGTCGAAAATTTCCCTGGGTAACTTTTGCGTAATTACGTCTTTTTTTATTAATATTTTATCCTTTTCTATCCTTTCACAGTTTAGGATGTGTTTTGTTGTTGTTGCGTTGTTATATATACCGGTTGATAGTAATCCAGTTAACTACTAAATGTAACTATGATACGATAACACTACTCCATGACAGATTTTTTCCTCATATCTCAAAAATACTGCTAGTATTACCTGTATAAGCAACAAATTTGAAAGATAACATAATTAAAAATGGCCTTCGATTTCGTTCCGTCTCTCTCCCTCTCACGTGCGCTCTTTTTCTCTCCATTTTTTTAAATGGAAAACTTCGTCTTCCGCATTTTGTAGGAGATTAGAGGAGATAAGTAGACTGGGGATCGTTGTGTCAACATGTGATTTGTTCACACACACTGGATAATATCAATATCTTAAGCTGTTGAAGTTTTCTTAGTGTCCAGAAAAAAATTTTATTATCCTCATAAGATTGGTGAAATGTTCATTCTTGAAAATTTTAATCTGAGAAACTTTCCTATGCAGTGATGACTTCTCGGTGTAGACATCTATTGGAGGATGGTTCGAGTTAATGAGGGTTGAGTAGCTGGACGACGTGTATATATATATATATATATATATATATATATATATATATATATATATTGGAAAAATCTTTGTGTAGAGTTATTAGCTGATAAAATAGTATATTTTCCAAAATTGTTTGATCATATGGTTGTGAAGTTGGTGTGTCGTCGTCAAAATGATTTCCCAAAGGCTTTTGAAGAATTTCATTAACAGTCTACCTTCCCTGGCTCAATAGTGAAGATCAGGTTATCGAACCAAAAGGATATGCGACAAGGAACCCTGATAGGCAGACAGTAAACCAGTCAACAACCTATTATTCAAAAAAAGATATGTAGAAGGAAATGGACATTGGTCGAACATATATACTCTGAAAAGGTATTCAAGGGACATAATATGCAAAGGAAGGCCCTTGAAAGGAATTCAATCGGGAATCGTCTATGGGTTGAGCGTAATATTTTAGGGTAATATGGAGGCAGGGTCATGTTGAAGAAAAAATGAAAGTTTTTTCTAGATTTTGGTGAGATCAGCTGAATGTGATAGTAGAAAACCGAGTGAAGTGGTAATGTGTTGCTGAAGACCTGTATTTCACTAAGTACTAAAGGAACGAACAGATACAAGTAACTGAGCTGTATACTTTTGTGACCTTAATACTATTTAATGCATCTTGAAATTTCAGAGGGGGGTAGGGGATGTCTCTTTCCAGTGATATCAATATATGTGTCTTACTAAACTAATGAGAATGATTAAAGGCGGTATATGTAGACGATTTGGCTCAGTACACGCTTATCTTTCAGTATGACACCTAAGCTTTGTCATTAAAATACTTACTTATTTTCATTTTAATTGAATCCTTCGGCCTTTTTAATATCTGTTCACATATGGTATACCCTTCCTTTTTATCCTTTTTACTTTAAAGTTTTGGATTCAGTCTCTGAGAAGTTTAACGCATAATACTAAAGCAGCTAATGTATGCCCAATGACTCAATTGAGAAAACAGTAAGTCATACTAAAATTTTCTTACTCAATTAATATTCCAAGGAATCATTTTTTCATTACTTCTTAATATTGTTTACTAATATTTAATCTTTATTGTGCATATATTGCAATTAGTGATAGTTTTGTTTTTGTATAAAATTAGTCTAAAACTGTACTTTATGTTTAAATATTGTCAGATAGTAGCTCCTTTTTATCGAATTCGCAGTTCTTATTTATAATTTATAACTTGTAAATTATACAGTTTGAGGAAGGTAAACTTTGCCACTGTTTCATATGAAAGTTGAAATTATTCAGATCGGTGGCACAGTGGTTAGAACTCTCGCCGACCATGCACATGGTCCGGAGTTCAATCCTTTGCCGACGCACACCTGATATCTATGGTCGGCCTGCAAAACTTGGACTACCGATATCCATGCTTAAAATTCCATACTTGTACCAAAAATACAGTGTGAAATCGAGCTGTAAATCAAAAATAAAATAGAAAATAAAAATAAATTCATGGTGTTATGTACTACTGATTGATTGACATGAGTAGTTGGATATACTGCTCACCGTGATCAGTAGAGCTTTCTAGTTAGAGATCGAAGTGATTTAAACATTAGACGGCCGTTTCTCTGTCTGTCTGTCTCTCTCTCGTGTAAAGCATATGTAACAAGCCAGGATTCGGGTGGTTTGAACTGATATTTGGATGTCTGAGCTGCTGAGTTAAACAGTACAGTGTTGCAAATAAGTGAAACGGATGTCTGACGTAAAGATCACGTTTTCATCTAGCTGGCTAGTAAGCACTACTGGTTAGTGTGAGTGACATCCAACTACTCGCTCATGTCAGTTGGATCGGTAGTGCTTAGCACCATGCATTTAAGTAGCGTTAATTAATTAAGATTAATAATAGCTTTATTCTGAACAGTGTTTAGATATTGTAGACAATTTTCATAGAAATCTATTGCATCATATTTTCTTTTACCTACAGGATCTACAAGTTAACTAGTAGTTCTTGGTACATCGCGTAGTAATGATATATGACCTAAAGCGTAAAACCAATCGCTCCTCCTCATATTTCTTCTTTGTCTCCTTCGACAAATGCCCAAAATTTAGTTGAATTGTCAACTAGAAAAAGCGAAGAACTACATTTTGGATACCCAACAAAATAACTGTGACAAGTTAAACATTACAGGTAGTGAGTGAGTTTCACTTCTCAAGCAGTGACAGTTTGTACTACAATTCTCAAGAGGAGTAATCTCATGTATTGGGACATGTTGTCACCCACGGCCGTGTTTTGTATCTGATTTTTGAGGGGAAATTAAAAATCATCAGATTGTAACTATTTTAGATAATAATGGGAATAAACAATATCATTAAGGGTCATATTTTTGTAGATTAAACCAATGCGAACAAGGGAAATGACATGCAATGTTAATGATGGAAGTTTTTCCTAGCCCGAGTTTTAAACAGGCCTTTACAAGTTTAATGATTATGCTTTAAGATCCACAGTAGACAGAATGGATGACTTGTGTAATATATTGGCAACCGACTATACATCTAACCTGCACAGCTATGACGAGTAAGAGAATGGATTGAATTGATTACGGCTTAATTCTTCCAGTTACAGAGAAGTAACAGTCACAATTCAGTTGTTTCAGGATTTCATCATGAGCTGATATTAGTTAGAGAACCATTGGAAAACCTGCAGGGAGTACTAGACAGCTGATTCGTCCTGGTTTGGGACTCTTCAACAGTACGCACCCACCACCAGGGTTCGAACCCAGGAACTTCTGATTACAAGGCCAGTGAGTTCTTAGACCATTAAGCCACTGGGACCCGATCAAATGACCAGTACATGAATTCTAACTTCTGCCTATTCACGATATAGGGTAACCGCTAGCCAATGTCTTCGCTGGCGATTATTTGTCCTCACACCCGACCTGCTGCACCCTATTGGTCATGACTTCTCACTAGAAGCCCAGGTAACTACCTACCTGAATAAGGCAAGTCGCAAGTGAGCATCTCATTGATATTCAAGTATTAGTATGTAGGGATTAGATACGTCCTGGGTTTGGATTCCGGTGGGTGCGGACTGATAAAGAGTCCCAGACTAGGACGAAACAGCTATCCAGTACTCCCAGGTTTTCCAATGGTCCTCTAACTAATGTTAACTCATGATGAAATCATGTAAGCAACCAATCAAATCCATACAAACCAACACTTGGAGACAATAGTGAGTTGCGTCTGGCAGGTTTTTACCCACTTTGTGAATTACTTTGAAGGAGGCGTTTTTTGAGATAGAATGATCATTGTTGACTTGGTGTTTTCGATTATCGCACTCCTTATGTGGCCACTAGTAGTTACCTTCTGAAACCATGAGGGATAGTGTTCTTGAACCTTTTGAGACAGGATACGCTTCGAATGGCCAGTTTAACTGGCTCTATCGTACACAGGTGAAATGATATATGTACACATAGAAGTGGTCAGATGAGGGATTTTGTCCTTAAGGCTTCTGCAAACCAATCGACGACTGGAAAACATTACCCTTAGCGTTGCTGCGAAGAATGTTCTTCCCAGAGATCCTGAAATTCTTCTCTTAAGGATATCTCGAAGTAAGTCTTCCATGAAATCCAGGTTCATGTAAAGTATCTTTCTTGGAACAGCTAATGTTTCGTTCCTCTGGTTTGATATTCTTGCCGATGAATCTTCGTGGGTATCGTGAATAATCTTAAATTGTAAGAGTTATTGACAGTGTTATTGTTTTTTAAATAACGTTGAATTATTGACATCAAATATCTAAGCCAGAGTCGGGAAAGCAAGATACGCCTTCATCAACCTGAAACCAGTTAGCAAATCTTCTGCACTAAGCCAGTATAAACGGCGAAATTTGGATTTTCAACAGTCAATGCCTCCATATGGGTCAAAACCTTTGGTGGGAGTGTCACGAAGAGTATTTCCATCAGACTACTGCAGACCTGTAACCAATCAACCAAATCCCTACAAACATATACTTGAATACCAATGAGATGCTCACTGGCGACTGGCCCTTTTCAGGTAGGCAGTTACCTGGGGTTCCAGTGGGATGTCGTGACCAGTTGGGTGCAGCAGGTCGGGTGTGAGGACAAATAATCGCCAGCGAAGACATTGGCTAGCGGTTGCCCTATATCGTGAATAGGCAGAAGTTAGAATTCATGTACTGGTCATTTGATCGGGTCCCAGTGGCTTAATGGTCTAAGAACTCACTGGCCTTGTAATCAGAAGTTCCTGGGTTCGAACCCTGGTGTTGGGTGCGTACTGTTGAAGAGTCCCAAACCAGGACGAATCAGCTGTCTAGTACTCCCTGCAGGTTTTCCAATGGTTCTCTAACTAATATCAGCTCATGATGAAAACCTGTAACCAATCAACCAAATCCCTACAAATCAATACTTGGAGACTACTGCAGATTTTTATCAACAGCTGTCTTCTTTGGCTCCATACTGAAAATCAAATGGCAGGGCAGAAAGAATTAGCAACAAGAAACTCTGTGAACAGACTAACCAAGAACCTATCTATCGTTCAACGAATATGCATGAGAAAATGGAGATGAATAGGGCAAATACTGAGGAGACCGTCGAATGAATTATACTGCGTGCCAGGCTATCACTCGAGCGGAAGCCGGACAGAAAGCGACTAGTGAGTCGTCCTAGGGTGACATGGAGGAGATCGTTTGGTGAGGAGGGGGAGATGAGAGATTATGGGGAATCGTGGAGACAGGTGAAGAGGACACAGTAGAAAATAGAAAAAAAAATGGAGATGTGTTGTTGAATCCCTATTTTCCGCGCTCAGAACCCAAGGGAATAATAATTATTAAAATTATTTATTATTGACATCGAAATTCCAAGACACACATGTGAATAGATTGTTGAAAACAAATACATATGTGATAACGTGTATAAATCTAACACTAAATCGAACATCAAATATCAAAAGTGGTCATGAATAACAATGAATATGTAATGATGAATACGCATGGTTAATTTTCACACTGAATCTTGTAAACTTTATATGAATCAATGAGTGGTAGTGTCAAAAACAGAGACAGAAAATGAAGTAGAAGATTATGGTGTTTGTGTCAGTGTAAGTACGTCAGTGAATCATTAAAAACAAAAATAAGAAAGTAAAGTCTCAGATAACATGATTTGTGTTAGAATTCAGGGATCATTGAATTCCAGCACAAGTGGATGAATGCTTGAGGGGGTTCCTCTCGTAACTTGAGGACCCTGAGTGTTTGATTCCTGGCGGGCTCATGGGTGCGCACCGATGAGGAGTCCCCAAATGTGAGGAAACAGCTGTCCTGTGCTTCCCAGTTTTCTTCAATGATCTCTCTAGGTGATATTGGTTTGTGACGAAATTTATTATTGTATCCTTTAATTCCTAGAGGAACAAAGGGCTTCAGCCAAACGTCTCCATTGCCTTTGGTTTTTTACCAACCTTTTCACCCTGCTCCAAGTCTGCCCACATGCTTTCATCTCCTCTTCACATCACCTCCTCCAAGTCACCCCACCATCGCACTGACGACCAACTCGCCTCTTCCCTTTCGGGTTCCACTCGAGCGATGCCTTGTCTAGTGATGTCACTTGATGGTTTCCTCAGGGCATGGCCAGCCAATCCACCTCTATTTCTTCCTACCTATTTGTTTCACAATCGGTTCCTCCTGGGTTGGTTAGCTCATTTCCAGAGATCCCTGTTTCTGATCTTTTCTGACTGGCTATCTGACCTTCAGTATTGAGTGAAGACAACTGTTGATGAAGGTCTGTAGTTTGTTTGAGATGCTGTTTATGACGTGCTGGCCAAGTGTCTGATCCGTTTAGCGAGTAGCACTGACTTCACATTGGAGTTGGATATCCGGATGTTATTTTTGATGGTGAGTGGGGCTGTTGACCTCCACACAGACTTAAGAGGAATGAAAGCTTGTCTTGCTTTTCCGATTCTGGCTTCAATATCCTGGTCAGTTCTGTCCGCCTGCAGTTGAAACGATG